TGCCTGTAGTCCCTGCTACCCAGGAAGCTGAGGCACAAGGATTGCTAGAGCCCAAGGGTTTGAGTTTGCTGTGAGCTATGATGGCACCAGGACAACAGAGTGAGACTCTGTCTCAATCAATCAATCAATCAATAAAGCTGTGGTGACAGGGAAATATCTTCTAAGGGGGTCCCTTCCAATCAAAGCAGCTCTAAGTGTAAGAAAGGCCTTTCTTACCCAGAGCAGAATCTTTATCCCTCTAAAGCCTTCTCCTATGTCCATCGTCCTGGTTCTGTCCTTAGGACCACAGAAAGCAAGCTTTATTTCATATTTTTAACATGGCATAAACATATAGGTGTGGGTTCAAATCCCATCTCTGCCACTTATAAGCAGTGTGACCTTGAGCAGATCACATAACTCTTCAACGCCTCATCTGTAGAATGGAGATAGTAACAACGTCCGCTTTGTAGGGCTGTTGTTAAGGTTTAAGTGAGATATTCTCAGAATGCCTTTAGCACAAGTTCTGGTGCATAGTAGGTGTTCAAGATTATTCCCCATGGCTACTGTGGCAAACAAGAAATGTCTGTGAATTTATTGACTCCTCTCTTTAAGACATGAGATCTTGGCCCCCTCCCCTTGACCAATAGGATGTGGTAAAAGTGACCTGTGTTTGTCTCAGGGCCAAGGGCTTAACACACTTGTAGGTCCCACTCCTGTCTCAGGATTCTCACCTTTGGAGCCCTGAGCTGCCACATTAGAAGCCTAATTACCCTGAAGCCCCCATGCTGAAGGAGCCACATGTGGAGCTCTTGCCAATGGTTCCACCTGAGTGCAGCCTTCCAGCTGTCCCTGCCAAAGTGCCAGATGTGGGACTAAAGCCATCTTATATCTTCCAGACCAGCCTCGCAACCAGCTGAATACCATCATGTGACCTCAGTCATTGACACCTGAAGCAAAAGAATCACCCAGTAAGCCCAGCCCAAATTCCCAACCCACAAACCCAGGAGAGACAATAATGTGCTTGTTGTTTTAAGCTGCTAAGTTTTGAGTAATTTGCTGCATGGCTATGGATAATTGGAGCAGTTACCATCAAATATTTGAAGGTAACTGTTCCCTTCCATATTGAACCTACCCACTCCTCTCAGCTGTTGCTCACATGATAGGGTTTTGAGTCTTAGGATCATCATGATCAGTTGTCTGCCAGACAGTTGAAACCCACCAATGATGCAGCCCTCAAGAGGGTCTGACCAGCTCTGCAACGTGAGGACTCTATCTAGACTATGTAAAAAAGAAAATTATGGGCTCAGACTGGCTTCAGGCAAGGTTGGATGCAGGTACACCCATGATGTCAGGCTCCAATCCCTTTGCGATGATTTTATTTTCAGGCTCTTCTCACAGAAACAAAAAGCTTTAGAAACTCAGCTTTACATCCTCTCAGGTTCAAGCCCAGATAGAAAGAGGATCCGCCATTCTCCTAGCATTCTCGGCAAAAGTTTCACTTATTAAGGCCGGGCACAGTGGCTCATGCATGTAATTCCGGTACTCTGGGAAGCCAAGGTGGACAGATTGCCTGAGCTCACAAGTTTGAGACCAGCCTGAGTTAGAGCAAGATCCATCTCTAAAAATAGCTTACTACTTGGGAGGCTGAGGCAAGAGAATCACTTGAACCCAAGAGTTAGAGGTTGCTGTGAGCTCTAACACCAGGGCACTCTATGGGAGTGACAAAGTGAGACTCTGTCTCAACAACAACAAAAAGTTTCACTTCTTCTCTCTGGTTCATAGCTGTACATGCATATAACCCAATCAGAGCCAATCACTGTGGCCAGGGAGATGGAATGGCCTGGGAGACCACAGACAGGGCTTATTTCATTGAAACAATGTGAAGTTCGGTTCATATGGGGAGTGGGGAGCAGCGATTCTTCAAAGGAAAACTAAGGATATCATCACAGGGGAAGAATGAATGGATGGCTGGGCACTAGAAATATATCTATCCACCCCAGGAATTAAAAGAACAAAAAATCACCTCCCTCACTCTGGATCATCTATCTCTTTTTTTTTTTTTGAGACAGAGCCTCAAGCTATCCCCCTGGGTAGAGTGCCATGGCAGCATGCTCACAGCAACCTCCAACTCCTGGGCTCAAGTGAGTCTCCTGCCTCAGCCTCCCAAGTAGCTGGGACCACAGGCGCCCACCACAGTGCCTGGCCATTTTTTGGTTGCAGCCATCATTGTTGTTTGGCGGGCCCGGGCTGGGGATTCGAACCCGCCACCTTAGGTGTATGTGGCTGGCGCCTTAGCTGCTTGAGCCACAGGCGCCGGGCCTGGATCATATATCTCTATTAATGCAAGACAGGGCCACACATCATAATTTCACACTAATGCTCACAGCAGATCTTCAGGAGGATGTTTCTCCTTACCCATTGCTCCTTAGTTTCACCTTCCTCATGTCAGGGATACGAACATGCAGGTGAATCCTCCCTCTTCATCTCTGCCCCAAATACAGTGAGGATTCTGGGGGGGGGGGGACAGAGATGAGCAAGACCAGGCCCACCTTCCCTCCACCTTCTCTGAGTCATTACCCCTCCCTCCCTTCATATTCAAGGAACACAGCTGGCCAGGCATGGTGGCTCAGGCCTGTAATCCTAGTGCATTGGGAGGCTGAGGCAGGTGGAATGCTTGAGCTCAGGAGTTTGAGACCAGCCTGAGCAAAAGCAAGAACCCATCTCTACTAAAAATAGAAAAACTAGCCGTGCATGGTGGTGGATGCCTGTAGTCCCTTGGGAGTCCCTCCCAGCTACTTGGGAGGCTGAGGCAAGAGGATCACAAAGAGGACCACTTGAGCCCAAGAGTTTGAGGTTGCTGTGAGCTATAACACCATAGCACTCTAGCCTGGGGCAACAGAGTGAGACTCTGTCTCAAAAAAGGGGGGGGAGGAAGAGAGGGAGACAGTGTAGACCTAGAAGCAAGCTTTGCTGCCAGCATGGATGGCACAAATCCAGGGCTAGAACCAATGATTTGAGAGCAAAACAAGCCCTAACATCTCTTTATACAGTTGGATTGTTTCTTCTGAGTAGACAGGTTTATTAGCAACCAGGGGGTTTACTAGAAACCAGGGATTTGGAATATAAGGTGTGTGCATATGTAAATAATACAGTATGTATAATAATAATGTATTAATACATTAATATAATAATGTAATGTAAATAACAACAAAATCTGTCCCCTGACCAAGGGACTCTCAGTAGTACACAGGGTTGCTAGACACAGTGAGATTTCTAAGATCTTGGCTCTAGAATCAGAGGATGTTTGGATATGACCCTTAAATCTGACCATGTGACAGATGAGCAAACTGAGGCTCAGAGGGGCCCTGGCATATTACCACTCCAAGGTTACTCAGCAAGTGAGCAGCCTGCCTGGTGACCTTCAGAATGTCCTTCTGATTGCTTGTCTCTCCCACTGTGCTCGGTACTGTTACTTGAGTGAGCACACAGGTTCCAGGGTGGTGAAAAACTTTTTACTTTCATTTTGTAACCGGCCGTAATACGAAGTGTGGGCTGGAAAGGAAGCACCGGTCTATGGGTTACCCCTGTGAATTCGTTTGACAAATATGTATTAAGTGCCTACTGCAAACTTGGCCCCGTGCTGGGGGTTGGAAACACAATTTGGGGGCAGGAGGGGAATAACTGCTCTTGGAGTTTTCATTGTCGAGTGGGGGAGAGGGGCAGAGACACCAACGTAAGAATCACACAAGTTCATACATATGACAGGCATGCAAAATGTCAGGAGAGAAAAGGACGGGATGTTCCACAGGCATGGGGTATGGACAGACTTCCCAGAGGAAGTGACATTTGAGTCGAATTAGTAAGACATTTTCACGGGGGGCTTACGGTAAGTGCTGCAAGGACAGACGGTCTGTTACCCAACCCTACCTCACTGAACTCCAGCTGCAGCAACCTGTGTTCCCTAAGCCCTCCGGGAAGCTTCCAATAACTGTCTCCTGACTCCTCCGATGACACACTTTGGTCATTCCAAGAATGATGACCTAACACCATTACCCTGTGACAAGACACGTGCAAGTGGGGAAGCAGGATGTGCCTCCCTAGAGAAGAATTTGGACACCACCTCAGCTCTTCCCCTCAGCATCCACTCCTCCACTGGGGAAGAAAGTTCCTGTGGGTTTCCCCTTCTGTTTGTCCCGGGGCAATGCCAGCTTTGTGGCCAGCTGCTTCCTCTCCAGGCTGGAACCTAACTCCTTCCTGCTCCCTGCCTGGCAAACACCTCACCCTCAGGTCCCAGGCAATGGCCCATCTCCTCCCAGGCTGGGGGGTCCCCTCTTCTCTGGTCCCCTCACCCAAGCTTCCCAGGCTCCACGCATGTGGCTTCCTGATCACATAATCTTCCCAAGATGTTCCCTTCAACATCTGCTGGGGCCTGACTGGGCGCCCATGCTCTGCCATTCACTTGCTCTGTGACTTTGGACAAGTTACTTAACTTCTCTGGACCTCCAAATGAGAATAATAATGTAGAGTCCATTTTACCGGTTGTTACAGGATTAAATGACATCTGGCATATAAGTGTCCCTGTAGCACACTAAAGCATTCACTATAGGACAGATATGTCCTCTGTACAGTTATGAGTGTTTTGTAACCCGTCCCACCTCCCACAGATTTTTCAGCCTAGCGGGAGCTTTCAACCTAACCTTTCAGATCCGAGGACGGGCAGGCGGGAGGGAAACTACACACAGCGGAGGGCAGGGGACAGGGCGTGCGGTGCTGGGCACACGGCCCGGACTGGCACCCGGCACTGGGTGACCTGCCGCTGCACGCAGCCCTTCCCGCGCGAAGGGGGCCCGGGGCGCACGTAGCGCAACCAACGCCCTGCGGCCGGTGTGCGCGGCCCGTGCGCACAGCCCGGTGCGAACAGCCCCGGGGGCCGCGCGGAGCGGGGAGTGACTCACGCGGGGCGTGTGCAGGCTGCGCCCGGCACGGGCGGGACTTTTGCACTCGTTCCGGTTCTTTCTGGGTATAAAGACAGCCCGCCGCGCTCTGAGCTCCACCACGCCTCCTGCAACTCCTAGTAGTCTTGCGTGCAACTGTGTCTGGACTCCAGCAACCCTTCAGCTTGCCATGGATCCCAACTGCTCCTGCGCCACCGGTAAGGGGTCTGGTCAGAGGCTGGGGTGGATGGTGTAGCTTGCAGAGCTGGAGATGCAATTCCCGAACCCTCTTTCTTTCTCTTATCGCTATTTCAGGGTACTGATAGCCCCTCCCCAAAGCGTATTAGTGTGTTTCTCTCTCCATTCTAAGTTATTCGGAGCCCTTGTTTTATCGATAGGGGCATCTGACCTAATGGCTTGGCCAAGTTCCCAGCACTTGTTTGTGTAACAGAGGCCCTTGGACCCGGACTCCTAGCAGGCAGCCCCGCGTTCAGATATCCAGATTCTCACCTCTGTTTCTTCTCACAGGTGGATCCTGCACCTGCGCTGGTTCCTGCAAATGCAAAGAGTGCAAATGCACCTCTTGCAAGAAGAGTAAGTAGGATCCTCTCTTTCCTCTGTCCATCCCCTCGCTGCTCTCCGGCCCCTCCCCAGCCCCACACCATCCTCAGGGGAATTAAAGTGGGCTGGGGATGCCTCTTCCTGAAGTCGGTGCCTGCGGGCGGTCTCTACTAGGGTGGGCAGGACTCTCTATTCCCTGTGTACCTGGTGCTCATCTTTGCCACCTCTTCTCTGTCCCCAGGCTGCTGCTCCTGCTGCCCTGTGGGCTGTGCCAAGTGTGCCCAGGGCTGCGTCTGCAAAGGGGCATCCGACAAGTGCAGCTGCTGCGCCTGAGGTGGAGAGAGCCCTGCTCCCAGATGTAAATAAAGCCACCTGTACAAACCTGATTTTTTTTTTCATACAATCCTGACCTGTTTGCTACATACCTTTTTCTATAAAACATGTTAATGACAATAAAACATCTTTTTGACTTGATTCTGACTGGTTGTCTTTGTGTGCCTTGGAAATAAGGGATTGGGGTGGGGGACTGAACTGGGGGTGCAGACACCTGGGCTCTGAGTGGGAATGTTAGTCCGGAGCAATCTGAGTGCCTTCAGCAAAGCCACTGAGCTTCATTTTCCGTATAATGGAATTGCATTGTGCCAGTTTAGGGATGGGGACAGATACAGGATCCCTCTGTTTTCATGTCAAGGGTTGATGGCACAGAAATATTCTTCATTTCTTATTTTCATCGTCTGGTTTCCCTGCCCAACTTTGGTTCCTCAGATTTTAGGCTAGAAAGGACTACAGGGGTTAGAATCCAACTTCCCAATTCCTAGATTTTTTTTTTTTTTGAGGCAGAGTCTCACTTTGTCACCCTCAGTAGAGTACTATGGCATCATAGCTCACAGCAACCTCAAATTCTTGGGCTCAAGAGATTCTCTTGCCTCAGCTTCCCAAGTACCTGGGACTATGGTGCCCACCACAATGCAAGGCTATTTTTAGAGACAAGGTCTGGGCTCTTGCTCAGGCTGGTCTCAACTCCTGAGCTCAAGCAACTCATCCACCTTGGCTTCCCAGAGGGCTAGAATTACAGGTGTGAGCCACAGCCCCTGGCCTTCCCAATTGCTAGAATTTTTTTTTTTTTAAAGACAGAGACTCACTTTGTTGCCCTTGGTAAAGTGTCCTGGCTTCACAGCTCACAGCAACTTCCAGTTCTTAGGCTTAGGCAATTCTCTTGCCTCAGCTTCCCAAGTAGCTGGGACTACAGGCACCTGCCACAATGCCCAGCTATTTTTTGTTGTTGTTGCAGTTTTGCTGGGGCTAGGTTCAAACCCACCACCCTCAGTATATTGGGCCAGTGCCCTACTCACTGAGCCAGAGGTGATGCCTTTTTTTTATTTTTTTAGACAGAGTCTCTACCCTCTCTAGAGGGAGAGTGCTGTGACCTCCAACTTGGGCTCAAGCAATTCTCTTGCCTCAGCCTCCCGAGTAGCTGGGACTACAGGCGCCCACCACAATGCCCAGCTGTTTTTAGAGATGAGGTCTCCCTCTGGCTCAGGCTGGTCTCAAACTCCTGAACTCAGGCGATCCACCCACCTCGACCTACCAGAGAACCCAATTGCTAGGTTCTTATATGACGCTTCTAAAATCCCTGTGGTGAATGACCCATTTTTTTCTATCAGTTACAGATGGGAAAAATTTAATGAATAAGAAAATGAAATTTAAGAAGATACACAGTACAAAACCCACTTTTTAGATTCAACAGAAAAATTTCAATAAATATACAGAGAACAAAACAGAAGAAGTAAAAGACCCATCACGGGCACAATGTAAGAGTGTACGGCACAGCTCCTAGGTGAGGGGCACAACTCCAACAGGGACCTTACCTGACCAATGCAAACATTGTAACATAATCATTTGTATCCTCATATTAATCTAAAATAAGAAAATAAATAAAAAACAATACAGCAGAAAAAAGTAAAAAATACAAATGCTACATGTTTGTTCAAGAGTGTGCACTGCAGACTGGAAACAGCAGACCGGCCCCATCTGTGGCCCACACACCTTGAGCAACACCAGCCAGTGCATCCCCTCAAGGAGCCTTGAGTTGCCCAGTGCCACTGAAAGGACACTCCCTGACCCCGGAGAGCTCCCTTTTGTGACTTGGCTCTGAATCTTTGCAAGTTCCTCTCAAGGTCAGGCTGAACTTGCCCCTCTTTCAAATTCCAGCCCCTGGCTCCTTCAGACCAGCAGGGGGACTAGGGACTTGGAGGGAATGCCCAGCATTTTCCTGGCCAGAGGAAGGGTGTCTGCTCACTGGTTCCAGATGAAGTACTGCGTATCTGTCCATGCCAGGGTGTGGTGGTGCCCATTAGGAAGGAGTAAGGCCCTGGTGACTTATAATTAAAGTCAACAGTTTCTCCCTTTGGCTATTTGCTGAGGGAGTGCTATTTGATGTTCAATCAAAGGGAACTTGGCCCAGGAATAAGGAACACACTTGCCTGAAGGTGCCCTGTGGCTCTGTGGCCTTATGGAAAGAAGTCAGCCTATGGGAAACACAAGAGTCTTGTTGTCAGGCAGTCCTGGTTCACAGCCCACTCTACCACTTACTGGCTGTGTGGCCTGGGCAAGCTGCTGAAACTCTCTGAGCCTCCTTCTGTCATCTCTAGAAGGAAAACTCTATCTCTATGCAGGCATCAAATAAGAGTGGCCTGACTCCTGGCTAGAGTTTAATAACAATAACCATTATGATTTATAAGAATTTATAAATTTATGATTTATAATGAAGAAACATAACAATTACGTTCCTCTTTTCTGTTTTTGTAACTGGTCATGTGGTCATATCTGGTATTTATAACCTCCTATTTGGTATTCCCTTTGTCCTCAGGAAGCACCTCAGTGGGGCATGGTTCTTTACAAGGTGGAGTGAACCAAATCTTCAGTCCTAAGGGGTCTGGCCCATTAGTATCTTTCCTGTATTAGGTTGTTAAAGTCTTTCACTGATTTCAATCACAGAACAAGGTAGCAGTATGAGACATACTAAGGATCTCCTGGATTCCAGACATTTCCTTCTTTACCTCCATTCTGCAATAATAGTCCAGTTTCTTCTTGGTAATAACAATAAATCACCCCAGTGAGTGTAGCAACTCTGCCTGTTGATTCAGAGGTAAGGGGAACCCAATGTGGCCTGGCGGCAATCTTAACTTCCAGTCCAATGGAATCATTGTTGTATCTCCCAGTAGAAGCATTCCTCCCTTTGAAACTAAGACCTTGAGACCAGCAGAGCCTGGGGACAGGAAACAGAAATTATGCTTATGCAGATGAAGTAAGATTTCAGTCCGTCTATTTCATTCCTAAGAATGCCATAATCAACCAGTCAACACCACAGGACTCTGCAAGTCAGGATCTTCTGCTCTGACTGTGCTGTCCATGACCATAACCATGCCCAACTTTGCCTTTGACAATTTAGTGTCTTTCCCTGGCTCCTGCCACATTGAGATCCAATCATCTCCATTGCATACAGGTTTCCCAATTCAGTAATTCCCATTGCAATCTCTAACTAAAGGGAATAGTGACCACAGAACTCTCCAAGGACACTGGGGAACTGCACAAAAACTTATTTCTCACTGTTGAGCTGAAAGGTGCATTCTCTGGACACTCCCAGATTGGATAGGCAGATAATACGTTACAAATCATCTCTAATATGTAGTTTACTCATAGTGTAATTAAATGTTAATCATATCAGAAAAAAAAAATAACCTCACAGCAACATCTAGAGTAGATTGATGTTTGACAAAGGAATTAGGCACTTTGCCTACCCAAGCTGACACATAAAATCACCTATGACATATTTAAATAAAAACTAAATTCTTTTAGGGCAGTGCCTGTGGCTCAAAGGAGTAGGGCACCAGCACCATATGCCGGAGGTGGTGGGTTCAAACCCAGCCCCAGCCAAAAATTGCAAAAACAAACAAAAAAAAACCTAAATTATCTTTTTTTTTTTTTGAGACAGAACCTCAAGCTGTCACCCTGGGTAGAATGCCAAGGCACCATAGCTCACATCAGCCTCCAACTCCTGGGCTCAGGGATTCTCCTGCCTCTGCCTCCCAAGTAGCTGGGACTATAGGCACCTGCCACAACGCTCAGCTATTTTTTGGTTTCAGCCATCATTGTTGTTTGGCAAGCCCAGGCTAGATTCGAACCCGTCAGCTCAGGTGTATGTGGCTGGCGCCTTAGCTGCTTGAGCCACAGGCGCCAAGCCGAAAAACTAAATTCTTTATCAATGCAGAAATGAAGGCTCAATCTAACTTCCAGACATAGCTTACTCTAATATACTATGTCTGTATTTATTTATTTATTTTTTCCTTCTCTATCACTTTAAAAGCTGTCCAGGTTGAGCTTGAGGTTTGCTCCTGCCTAAAAGATTTTGAGGACAGTGGTGTTGAAGACATATTCACAGTGAAAGAAATCTTTATCCTTTCCCCTACTTCTTCCTTCAAAAAGCTAATCCGATACAGCGGCACTTTTGTCTCACTCTATAACCTTAGGCAAATTAGCTGAACTTAAACCTCAGTTTTCCTATTAGGAAACTATTGCCCTTTTATTGTTCTTGGGAGGGTTCAAAGAATCAAATGATTAAACAGATGTTGATACAGACTAATTGCGGAGTCATAGGAATAATGAAAGGTCAATTACCACATTTCTTGCCTCTTTATTTAATGTAGGGTCTGCAAGTCACCTAAAATGACCCCTCCCTTGGGGGCGTCTCAGATTTTTCAGACTCTCAAACCTGGAGTGGTATGGGTAGGGTTGGCTGTTAGGGGAGCCCTTGGAGAATTTTCTACAGGGAGGACCTAGACAGATGTTCCCGCACGTCCTCTCAGACATGGAGAATGGGAGGCAGTGAGGCAAGCAGAGCCCGGAGTCCATCCGGTTGCTGTGTACGGTAAGAACCAGCAGAAGGACCACGCTGGGGACATGGACAGGCAATTCAGGATCGCCAGGGTGGGGACGAGTAAAGGTCACATCTTGTGTGCTGCACACCATTCCCTCGCTGCTATCTACCCCCACTCCTATCGATCTAGGGACGTGAGCACCAGGCTGGGGTTGCACCCGGGCTCCAGGAAAGGCGAAGGACAGCAGTGGGGGCTGAATGTGGGGATATCATGACCCGGGCTGAATTCCGGGAAGTTTCTGGGTAGGCGTTACCAGTAACTTGGGGGAAATCGCGAGGGGCAGGCAGCACAGTGGGGACGCGGTGTACCGGCAGGCGCACGGCCCCTCCCGCACTAGCGGGCGCCAAACGGGCGGCCCCCAACGGTGCGCACGGCCCCGGCCTCCGAGCTCCCGCGCCCGGCCGGCCTGCTGCGCACAGCCGGCCCGCGGGCGGCGCGACTCCGCGGGGCGGGGGCAAGGGGCGGGGCCTCTGCGCCCGGGCCTCTCCTGACCATAAAGGGGGCTCCAGGCGCCTGGGCTCCACCGCGCCTCCCACCCGTCTCACGGACTCTTCGCTAGTCGCCTCGGAACTGCGGCCTCACCTCGGCTCGAAATGGACCCCAACTGCTCCTGCGCCACTGGTAAGAGACGCCGTTTTTTTGGTCTTTATATCACCCATTTTCCCGATCTAGGATAGATTGTCCCTGGGTTTGAAGAGGTCTCATTTTAAGTTCTGAACTGAACTCCGTTAGTTCTTCTGGAGCTGTCTACCTGCCCAACCTCCAGGGAGCATTTCCATCCCACCTGTGCCTCTCGAGAGCTGGGAGTACCAAAACTTCAGGCTGACCTGCTCCGCATCGCCCAGTGGGGCCATCTGGGCCCAAGTTCCCTGTCCAGGCTCTGAGCAGTCAGACGGATGGGAGGCAGGGAACATTGCCTCTTTAGTCTGCCTGGGCTGTGTCTGGAGCCTGGGACCTTCCTTGTGGGGTTAAAACAGGAGGACACTTGCCCTTCCCAGCATGAAGAGAGAGAGATTGGAGCTTCTCTTCCTCTGCCCTGAGTGGGAAGGGAGCTCTGAGGGCTGAGGGCAGATCGGGGACACTGGAGAGCTATGGCTCCGCTGCCCTGTCTTCTGCTTCTCCCTCTTTGCTCACTGCCTGTCATTCCCTTCCTCGCAGGTGGCTCCTGCAGCTGTGCTGGCTCCTGCAAATGCAAAGAGTGCAAATGCACGTCCTGCAAGAAGAGTGAGTGTGGGGCCTTCCCTGGGGATCTGCGCTGTGCTAAGATTGGGAGGGCGACCCAGAGCTGGTTCTGAGAGTGTGGTGCTTCCAGGAAATGACCTTCCTTTTCCGCTGTGGGATGTGTCATTCCTCCTAAGGTTGTCTGCCCTGAGATCAGATGGTGCAGGGCAGCCTTTTGGTATTGGGACACAAACCCCAAAGATACCACCAGTTGTCTCAGAACAGAGCGATGCCATCCTGACAAAAGCTTCCCCTAGGGCTGAGGGCAGAGCGTGTGCCACAGCTGCTACCGGGGCGCTGAGGTGTCTGGTTAAATCTATTCTGACCTTTTCTTCTCCCCTTTCTTCCCCAGGCTGCTGCTCCTGCTGCCCTGTGGGTTGTGCCAAGTGTGCCCAGGGCTGCATCTGCAAAGGGGCATCAGAGAAGTGCAGCTGCTGTGCCTGATTTCAAAATAGCCCTGCTCCCAGATGTAAATAGATGCCTGTACAAACCTGGATTTTTTTTTATACAACCCTGACCTGTTTTCTGCTTTCCTTTCCCCAAGAAACATGTGAATGATAATAAAATACTTTTGACTTGATTCTGACTCTGGTTGTCTTTGCATGCCTTGGAAATAAGGGACTGGGGTAGGGGACTGAACTGGGGGCGCAGACATCTGGGCTCTGGGTGGGAATGTTAGTCCGGAGCAATCTGAGTGCCTTCAGCAAAACCACTGAACTTCATTTTTCCGTATAATGGAATTGCATTGTGCCAGATTAGGGGCGTGGACAGATACAGGGTCCCTCTGTTCTCACGTCAAGGGTTGATGGCATCAAAACTTCTTCATCTCTTATTTTCATTCTCTGATTTCCCTGCCCAGCTTCCGTTTCTTATTGGATTTCAGCCTTGAAAGTCACTATAGGGGTTGGAATCCAACTCCCCGGTTGCTTAAACCCTACACAGGGCTTCTCAAATTCCACAGTGAAGGAACAGCTTTTATTTCCTATCCGTCACAGACATAAACCATTGCCAATAAAATGATATTAGCTCCGGAGATAATGAAATCAAACACAAAATATAAAACCCATGTTTTAGATTCAACTGGAAAAACTTCAATACATTCATGAAGAAGTAACAGGAAAACTAAAGATTCACAACCTCTGCCCATATGTTCATCAAGAGTGTGCACTGCAGACTGGCCCCATCTGTGGCCCACACATCTTGAGCAACACTGACCAGTGCATCCCCTCAAGGAACCATCAGTCTTAAGTTGCCCAGTGCCACTGACAAGACACTCCTTGACCTGAGAGCTCCCTCTTGTGACTTGACTCTGAATCTTTGCAAGTTCCTCCCAGGGCAGGCTGAACTTTGTCCTCTTTCAAATTCTAGCCCATGGCTGCTTCAGACCAGCAGGGGGATTAGGGACTTGGAGGGAATTGCCCAGCATTTTTCTGGCCAGAGGAAGGGTGTATGATCACTGGTTCCACATGACGTACTTCGTATCTGTCAATGCCAGGGTGACAGCTGGTTCTGCAGTTTGGAGGGTGTGGTGGTTCCCATTAGGAAGGAGTAAGCCCCTAGTGACTTGTAAAAAAAGCCCCTGGCTTGGTCCTCTGGCTATTTGCTGAGAGAGTCCTTTTTGATATCCAACCAAAGAGGAAGATGTGGTTTCTTGCCTACAAGTAAAGATTGGGCTTACCTGTCAGTTCTCAGTTAGATGTCAGCCTGTGTGAATGGGCATGTGTCTGGCATCCTGGCTCCCAGCCCACTTCACACTTACTGGCTGTTTGGCCTAGGCAAGTCACTGAAACTCTCTGAGCCTCTGGTTCCTCATTTGTAGGAAGGAGATTATATAGGTCAATGTAGGGAATAAATGAGAGAGTGGCCTGGTTCCTGGCTAGGGCTTAATAAACAATGGTGGTTATGATCATTCTCTCCACATTGACTTACTTGGGCAAGGAACCCTGTTAAATTCCAACAAACTCCCAGAGAAAGGCTCATAGATTGAGAAGCATTGCTCTGGTTTGGATGCCAGGAATGGGAACCTGGCTGATCCACAGCCAGGAGGAGTGTGCATAACCATCTGCAAAGTCCTCTTCCATAAGACACAGCCCAGCATCTGAGCAGACTTCAAAGCCTGGCTTATCCTTTGTGTCATTTTGTGAATGAGAGACACAGACCTGATGACCAGGATACTACATATGCAGGGGTTGGAATGATTGTACATCTTCCTGAGTAGCAGCCTGCCCAAGGCCACACAGCTTGTGAGGAAAGGGATGAATGAAGCTATACTTCAGCTGGCCTCTTGCCCTGGCCACAACTGACAGATCATGATGTCACTGGCTGTTAAACCTGCCTGTTTTGGTTCTAAGGTATGTGGGCCCTTTCAGGTGGACCAATTTTGCTCTTGACTTATGAGATGGGAACTGAAACACAGAGAGGCCGCAGAGCTAGTCAATTGATCTCTTTTTGTTGTAGTTGTTCATAAACAGTATTTCCCTGTAAGATTGTTGGGAGAGTTCAAAGAACAAAAGTGATTTAAAAAGGGACCAGCACAGCACAGTCCATATGTAATGCAATAGTCAGGAGAATGGAAGAAAAAACCTGCTTGTTTTGAGGTTTTATTTAATGGAAAGTCTGCATATCACCTAAAGTGATCCCTCTTTGGGGAGCATCCTGAAATTTCAAAGTTGCCACCATGGCTGGCTGGCTAGGCGGTGGAGTGACTATGGAGGATTACATGCAAAGGAGGATCGGGACAAACGTGCCCATATGTCCCCGCAGGCGTGGAGACTGGAAAGGAGAGATGGGACAGACCCGGGCATTTGCTGTGTTGCCATCTACAGGAGGAACCAGACTGAGAGATCTAGGTGTGGACAGGGACAGGCCATGCGGAGGGCCTGGGAGAAGCAAAAGTCACTAAATCCACTAGCACTCTGGGAGGCCGAGACGGGTGGATTGCTTGAGCTCAGGAGTTCGAGACCAGCCTCCCGACCCCCGCCCCCGTCTCTACTGAAAACAGAAAAATCTGAGGCAAGAGGATCGCTTGAGCCTAAGAGTCGGAGGTTGCTGTGAGCTACGATGCCACAGCACTTTACCCAGGGTGACAGCTTAAGACTCTTGTCTAAAACAAAAAAATACTACATCCACCGCCCGTCCTCTGCACACAACTCGCTTGCCACATTAACCTATTCTAAAAAAAATAAATAAATAAAGCCAGACATTGTGGTGGCGCCTGTAGTCCCAGCTACTTGAGACGCTAAGGCAAGAGAATCGCTTGATCCCAAGAGTCTGAAGTTGCTGTGAACTATAACGCCACTGCACTCTACCGAGGGCGACCTAGTGAGACTCTGTCTCAAAACCCAAACAACAAAAAAACACCCTATTCTCATCAATGCGGGACGTGAGCACAAGCCTGGGGTTGCACAAGGACTCCGGGAAAGGCAGACGGAGGACAACCGCGTGGGTTGGTGGCGGAGAGATAGCCGGAACCCTGGGACTTCTGGAACGCCCAGAAGCGCGGGTGGCAGGGAATCTCGGGGAAATCGGGAAGAAACAACAGGACAACTAGGAC